GTAGGGGCTGGCTTGGAGGGGACCCATCCTGTAGAGGAGCCCCTATAGGGGATGTGGGTCCCAAAAGCCCCCCTGGCCCTGGGGGTCTGGCAGCAGCAGCAGCAGCAGCTGGCAGTGGCCCATGCGGGCAAAGTCCAGCACGAGTGTCCCATGTCACCCTGCTGATGTGTCCCCACGGCTGCCCCCCGCCCGATCCCTGGCAATCGCTGCTGGGAGCCGGCCTGGGGCCGGGGGGCTGCCCCCCAGCACTGACCCCTCTTCTGCCGCCCTCCCCAGGCATCTACGTCTGTGCCAAGTGCGGCCATGAGCTGTTCTCCAGCCGGGCGAAGTACGAGCACTCGTCCCCGTGGCCAGCCTTCACCGAGACCGTCCACGAGGACAGCGTGTCCAAGTGCATGGACTGGCCGGGGGCTTTAAAGGTGCCGATTCTGAAACCCTTGGGAAGCAGCAAAATAAAAAAAAACACAGGCTTTTTTTCATGAGCCTGTCTGCTGAGAAAGACTGCTTGCTGTCGAACCTTCTCCTTGCATTTCTAGGTGTCTTGTGGCAAGTGTGGCAATGGGCTTGGCCACGAATTCCTCAACGATGGGCCGAAGAGGGGGCAGTCCCGTTTCTGAATATACAGCAGCTCGCTGAAGTTCGTCCCAAAAGGTACAGACTGTGGCTTGGCAGCTGTTTCAGCCCACGTAGTTATTTTTGGGGAAGCTGCTGATAGCCAGGCCACGCTGTGTGCGATGCACTGCTTTTGGCGGGGCGTAGCTGGCTGTTCAGATAAGCCAAGGAGCCATTGGCATCCTGAACAAATCTCACATGCATCAGTCTGCTCAGCTGGCAGCTCGGCGGGGCTCCCTGACCTCCCACGGTGAAATGCAGAGCGTGCTGGAGCTCCTGGATGTGGCTGCAGGTGTCCGAGGGGTGGCTGGGCGTTGGGGGGTTTCTGCTGGTGGTGCAAGGCGAGGGCAGGGAGCTCCTGCCGTGGCATAAACAGGGCTGGGAGAGTTTGCTGGTTTACTCCTCGTGGAAGTCAGGTGGGAACTCTGAATATTGCAGCTGCCCTACCGGTAGGAAGCAGGTCTGTGGGGAAGGGCAGGGCTTCTTGCCGTTGTGGTTATCATGCTGTTTGCTTCCCCAGAGTCAGAAAAAGGCTTTGGGAGGCCAAGTTCAGGGCAGCACCCTGGCCACAACTTGCTGTCCTGCTTGCCGGACTGCGATGGTTGTGAGATGTTAGCTGCACGTAGCAAAATAACCATATAAAAGGGGCTGGGGGTTCTGGAGCAAGGAACAAGAGCTCTGACTTTTCCTCCCCCTCTTTTAGGCAAAGCCGACGAGAACCTGAAGGAGAAGTAAGCGAGCTGCTTTACTTGGCACACTGCTCTTGGGCTGATCCTGCGTTCACACCTTGGGGTGCACCATCCAGTCAAGGGGGCACTGGGAGCAAGAGAAACCCTAAAGAAGCTCCTGGTTTCCCCAGGCTGGTTCCCTCCTCAGGGCTGCTCCAGTTCGGGGTGCTGGGAGGAGCACGGAGGAGGCAAGGGGAAAATGAGGTTGCTGAAGCTCTGTGCTTGCCAGGTGGTGGGTTGTATGACCTATGCCCGAGGATGTTTCACATGAATTGGGGTGATGCAAAGGCTACAGCTCTTCATTTTACCCACCCTTGCCTCCTCCCCAACCATCTGTTCTCCCCAGCATCCTCGCCTCTGCAGGTAGCAGCTACTACTGAGTCCTTTCGGTTTTGTCCATAAAAGCAGCACGTTTCCTGCGGTCCTGCCTCTGCTGAGCTCTGGGGCAGTTTTGCTGCTGAGTTCAGCTGAGCCAGGATGCTCTCCGGACCACAGCCAGGAGGGGCCGATTCTGACGTGGCACTGATGCAATCCAGAGTCACTCCGCTGGCATTTCCAGGGAGTAATGCTGGATTAGCTGAGGTCAGAGTCTGGGTTAATCTCTGGTGCTATTCTGGGCTGGGATCATGGTATGAATTGCCCTATATAAACCCTTCCAGGGTGCTAGGGCAAGGATGATTTTATGATCCTGCTAGGCAGCATCCAGGTATTTTACCCCTCTACCCATCTTGCACACAGTAGAGACAGTTCTAGATTTCAAGTGTCCTCTGGGCTTGATTCTGGCTTGGCCTTACACCAGATTTATCACTGTGCTATAAACCCCAGTGGCACTAACGGTTCCTCCTTGCTCTACACTGGTGCAAGGGAGGCCAGGATCAGGCTCACGGGCTGCACTTTGCCCAACTCAGGCTTTAGGAATCACGCCTGCATTCCCTCTGCGCTCGGAAGGGCTGTGACACCGATTTCTCCTTAATTCAGCATCTGATTCATGGCCTTCCCTCCCTGTCCCAGAAACCAAATCCTCCTCTGAAATCAATATGCAAGGATTTCTGAAGACAGCAAACCTTTTGCTGACCCATGGGTCTGGTGGTGCAGCTCTAGTGAGTGGTTTGGTGAGGCTGGGCTCACGGCACGTCAGAGACTTTTCTCTGCGTGCATTTTGCTTCAATCCCGCCGTTACAAGGGCACCGATAAAAAGTGCAATGCGCCAGCTCATTGCCTGGAGCTCACTGCTGGTCTTGTACCTCGTTCAATACTGAAAATAAAGCACTGATTCACTGTGTCTGAGAAATAACCTCTTTTTTTTAAAAAAAGCACTGGTGATGGCACCCTGGTGCATCTGCCCTGGGATTGCTTTTCTGCTCCATTTTCCCAGTTTTGCATGCAATGGTGGGGAGGGTGTGCTGGCGGTGGGATGCTTGCAAGGCAGGCATGAATGCAGGTACAAAGCCCTGGCCAGAGAGCTGAGAGCAGATTTCATCTGGAGTCTCTGTCTCCAGCTGTGGACCTGGTGACCCGAGGTGTGGACACACACTGTCTCGCATCCAGCGTGGTCTCGCAACCCAAAGGGTTGGCCTGAGGTTGGTGTGTGATTTTTATCCTGGATCTGTTACCGTCACTCCAGGTTTTGCCATGCAAAAGGGGGTTGCTGATGCACTGGAGGCCTTTGGGCATTCCCAGGGTCAACAGTTTCCTTGGGGAAGGTTTCCTTTTCACTCCAGTTAGTTAGCATTTTTGCCCAACTGAAGCTGATTTTAGCTTGTTTGATAGTGTGTTCTTAGTACCTTCTGGGCTGGCAGGATTTTCTGGTCAGAAGGGGTATGAGTTTTAGTGGTGTCTCACGATAGTTTCCCTGCATGAAGCTGCCTGCAAGACTGGAAGCTACAACCCTTCCCTGCCTCCCAGAGATCTCTTCGCCCCGCCAGGTTTGGATACCGGGTTCATGGAGGCTGGAGACTTTGAGCTGGGCTTTGCTGGATGCCAGTTCCCTCCTCCAAGGGGGTAAAGTCTGCTCTGGAGCGCAGGACCCAGCACACGTCTCCCTCCTGCCCTGCCGCTGGCTCGTGCCCCATGGCATCACCCTCGCCGTCTTCCCCGTGTGCGGGATGACGTCCAGCTCTAATTACTAATCAGGTTCCAGCCTGAAGGTTCAAGCTGCTTTTCAATCAATTAATCCTCTGATGTGCTGCTTTGCCCCTGGTCCGGTGATCCCTGCGCAAGCCCCGGAGGGCAGGAGCTGCCCCTTTGTTTCCCACCCTGGAGCACCACAGGACCATCCATCCCTGGGACACCTCCCGCCCACTGCCCCTCACCTGCGGTGCTGGGAAGGAAGGTATTTTTTGGGGTGGTTTCCCCTGAGACGCTGCGGTGGAAGGAAACCTCCTTGGGAGTGCCAGTGTCGAGGGGACGGCGATGGTTCCTCCCACTCGTGGGCTGCCTGGCACCGTGTGCCACGGGGGGACCCAGCCATGCTTCCACGCTGCCTTGCAGTTCGTGGACGCAGGCACGGGAGGGTGCAAGTGCTTTTCCTAACGCTTCCCCAGGCGTTGCAGGGAGGGAATGGGGTGGGCACGGCAGTGGCCTCGCCTTCCTGGGGATCCACCCCTGCAGCAACGAGAAAAAAAATTACCCGGAGCCAAAAAACCCCTCAGGATGGTTTAAATAGGGATGGGACATTTTCCTGGAAATCTGGCCGGAGCCACCAATGCCAGCAGGGATTTTGGCCAGGAGTATTGGCAGCACGTGATGCTGAGGGTGCAGGATGCGACCCTGCAGGGCAGATCCTATCCGTGCCCCTTCCCAGCTCCGCCGAGCACCCGCAGCCATCCCGAGCACCCTGGGGTCCCGGGTGCTTGGGGCAGGAGGCAACCTGCTCTGCCCTTCCCTCGCTCTGCAGCACCAGGCATCCCCATCGCCTCCGCTGGGCCGCGGCCAGTCCTTCCCCTCTGCCATTCATCCTCATTTTATTATTACACTAATGACAATTCTGGCTTAATAAGAGGATTTTGCTTAGTCGGGCAAAAGTGGCCCCACATCAGCGACGCGGGTTTAATGACAGAAATTGAATTACGTTACCAGGCCGACACAAACTTCCCTGGTTGTTTAAAAAATCATTAATTTCCTCTGCTGTAGCCTCCAGCTGACCTCCCTTTTTAATTTTTTAATTTTTTTATTTGCATGCCATGAAGAGGACCTGCCTCTTTGACCCTCCTCGGGATGGCTCCGTCGGACGGCAAAGCGGACAGAGCACAGAGAGATTTAGATTAATTTTCCTAATAAAGACGACAAGCCCTATAGAAATTACGTTACGCAAGGAAAAAGAAAATGACCTGGAGGCATTAGGAAACTCTAATTACCCTTGTTCCTTAGAGCCAGCGCCGTGGGAGGAGTGAGCTGGCTGGCCAGGCAGTCCTCCGCCTGCACCCGGCTGCTTTTACTTGAAATTTTCACTCGTGTTTCGAGTGGGCTGCCCAGCCTCACAGGGATGGCTCCTTCTTTTCTGTTCATGTAGTTTTATTTAATTTTACACTTTGATCAACAGTTTTTCCCATGCCAGCTGAGTCCGTGGGCTCCCCTGTGCCAGCAGGTCTGTGGGCATGGTGGCACGCCGAGGGCAGGAGGATGCATCTGGCTGTAGACATGCACCGAGACCCCAAAGCAGCGCTTTTGGGGTTTTACACATTGGGGCATCCCTTGGGACAGGGAGCACAGCCTGATCTGGGGTGCTCTTGCACAGTCCAGTCCCAGCAAACAGGCGCCTTCGGCCCCAGCCATGACCCCGAGCCGTGCCAAAGTCCCATCCCGGTGATGGGCTCTGGAGCACCAGCTTGCTTAAAAGGGATTATTTGAATTCTTTTGGGGCTGTGAAAATTCAATAAGGGCCAGAGCTGGTTTTATGTCGATTACAGAACATAAAGTGATGGTAATTAAAAAACCACTACACCCACCTGATTTCCCCAAGACATGGAGGGCTGTCAGGCAGCGAAGGTGCCTCCCCATCACCCGGCTCGCCCGCTCCATCCCGGAGAGCTCACCTGTCTCTCAGCACATCCAGCAACAGCTGGAGAAAATTAAAGGCTTATTCCACTTCATTCGCCGATAATAACTTCATCTCTCCCTATTCCGGGCTGCCTCCCACCCCGAGACGCCTCGCCGGGCAGGGGGCAGTTGCTGACCTCGTTCCTGGGGGTTGTTTAATCCAGCTGAACCTCCCAGAGCCAAGAGGTGGGGAAATTTGTTTTCAGTTTGTGGTGTGCGTTAATTAGGGAGATAATGACTGGAAACATTCAGAGCGAGTCTAAGCACGCCAGAAAAATGTTTAGCCCAAGGAAAATTTAAATCTTTCTTTTTTTTTCTTTCCCTAGCTGTTGAGATCTGACTTTTTAAGGCAATTAGTGAGGGTTTATTTATTAATCAGTCACACTTATACGCTTGCTTTGGGGTCTTATCTCACGCTCCCAAGTGCACATCGCTTCTAATCACGATCTTCACTTTTGATGTGGGAGATACCTGTCCCGGGCTGGCTGTGCGTGCCATGGTGCAGGCACGCTCCTGTGCTCTGCAGTGGCTGCTTGCTGCACCAGGACCTGGCGTGGGCTGACTGCGGTACTGCCCTTCCCGTGCTCAAAGAGCCGTGTCCCCTGCAGGCTCCATCCTCAGCCCAAGTGTATCCCAAGTTTTTGGGGGTGGCTTTCCCTGCATGGGTATCCCAGAGTCTGCCCAGGGTGGGACAAATCACCCCAGCCAAAAGCCCATCCCATGCTGTGGGCACAGCCAGAGCCGGTACCAGCCTCCGAAATGGCAGTGCCGGTGCAGGGATGCCCGCAGCACTCCTGCCCTCCCCACACCCTGGCGTGGAGCTGAATGCACCATCCCCAAAACACATTGCCCCTGTGGTCCCCAGGAAAGGCCCCGCCGCAGAAAGATGCTCTGGGATGTGGCAGCATCGGTCCAGCTCTGCGCCACCATCGGTCCAGCCCTATGCCAGTATTGGTCCAGCCCCGCGAACATCAGTCCAGCCTTGCAAGCATCAGTCCAGCCCTGCACCAGCATCGGTCCAGCGCCGCAGCTGCTCCTGCGGCCACCCCGATGGGCCTTGACCTGAAAACCCACCAGTGGCAGGTGATGCCCAGCCAGGGCTCTCCTCTCTGCAGAGTCTTGTGGCGCGTGTTTTTAAGCGATACATTTTACTGTCTACAATAATGATTTGTGGCTTGTAAAACCACCGTGATTAACTACAGTTTAGCCTCCTGGTTTCATGTCTTATCATGTTTCATCTCACAGAAAAGACATTTACAGTCTATTTTCAACTTCAAAGCAAATGCTTCTTGCGTGAGCATTAAGGAAGGCAAATATTTAAGCAGAACCTGTATGGTATTAGCGTCTCTTGATGTTCCCTGCTGAGTGAGGATTGATGGCTGCCTCAAAAGGCAGGTTTTTCCTATTGTTTTATGCACCAGTGATTAATATTTCATGTTCCCACTGTTATATATTTGCTGGCTGGCACTGGCCTACCCTGACAGTGCTTTCTTCATGTCTTACATGTCCAGCTTTTATGCACTTCAATATAGGAAGTGTGACTCTTGGCAGGGTCCTTTGGTCTTATTGAAGCCTCCTGCCCGAGTTTTTCAGATTAAGTTCATCTTGATGGTGTTAGGGCTGATGGCATGTTCTCCTTCTCCACCGATACCTCTGTCCCGTTGCCTGACGGTGCTCTGTCCCAGCCTGGACCCCTTCACTGCCCCAGCTTTTGGGCGGGTGCTGCAGGCTGTCTCCCTCCCCACCCGGCCGTGCACCCACCTGGATGGGGACAGTGGGGACAGCACCATGGGGACCGGATTCTGCAGCAGCAGCAGGGTAAGGCTGGATCCTGGCCTACCGTAGCCCTGCAGAGATGGGGGGATATGGATCAGGGGGATAAGCTGCTCCCGTCCCTGGTACCACCCCCTGCTTGGTGCCCGCGTGGCACTGGCATCGCCCCAAGCCCATCTTGGTGCTGCCCCAGTGGGGTTTCACCTCCCCAGTGCCAGAGGAAGAAACGCCGCATTTGCACTGGACTTGCCAGTGCTTCCGCACCACAAGCCCCCAAAAAAACCCCGAGTTCCCGGCCAGCCTTGTCAGGGCAGGATGAAAATAGCCCAGGACCAAATTCCTCTGCTTTGAACACGATGACACACTGGTGTGCATTTGTCTGAATGCTAAACATATTAAGACCAGGAACTGTAAGGGACGGCTCTGCTTATCATCCAGCTCAGAGTTAATATAATTCAATTAGCATGAACAGTAAATATAGCTCGTTTTAATTTAGATGGAGGGGTTGCTGTGGCTCGATCCTTTAATTTCAGGAGTAGAGAAGCTGTGGGAGGACTGCCAAGAATTTCTGCAAAACCCACATTTTCTCCGGGGCCGCGGGCTCTCACTCCGGGTGCTCCGCAGCAGCGGCGCGGAGGCCACCTCCGAGGAGCCTGCACGCTTGGCCGCGCGCTCGGCGAGCAGCACCCAGCGAGGGGCTTCCCGGAGGGACCAGGAGGAGATGGTGGTTTTGAATTGCATCATTATTAGAAGCAAAATAAAGACTGGGAAGCCACCAGGAGGGAATAAGTGGTGCAGTCTATTTAAAGAGGAAAAGATCAGCTCGGGAGAGACACTGGAGACATGTGTCTTCAGGGCTGTGCTGCATTCTTCGGAGATTATTTTAAATGCGTGCATCTTTTCTGCATCACAATCTATCTTTGTTCCCCTCTGACGTCTTGAGTCGGGGCTGGTATTTTATGGCTGGGGCTGTGCCTGCCAGCAGCACGACAGCTCTGCTGGAAATTAACTTCCCTGCACTTTAAAAAAAATCTCACAGGCATAAAATTCAAAGTAAGAGATCAAACTAGTTAATCTCAGATTAATTTAAGCCGCTGGCTCTGGTGGGCGACGCGTCAAGGCTCTGACGGGGATGCAATGCTCAGGAAACACTCAGGGCAGATGGGAGTTGCTGCCACGTCCCGTGTCCATCTGTCTGTCCATCCAGGCATGGGGCAATGGCCCTCTGCATGGCTCAGCTCCCTGCTGTCTGCCCAGGTGAGCTAACCCCGACTGTGGTGCTTTCCATCTGCCCATCCTGGACAGTAGGACAGATATTGGGTGGCCTGCTCTTTTCCTGGGAAGTCTGTCTCGAAGCGAGCAGGGTTTGTGGGTGCAAGCGTGCAAGTGTGCACAAGCACGCGCGTGGGGCGAGGTCGGTGACGGGTCATGGGCTAATGAAGCTCATGAAATACATCCTTCTCTGCTGGCTAGGCCAAGTGGAGTGTTTTCTATCATCTCTCCTGACATTACCACATAACTTAGATTGCACTTAATTAAAATAGCTCATTTAACTGATGGCTCCTAAGATGCAATACTGGAGATTGTCTGCTTTTCCTGTCCAGCCTACACACAGCAGAGGGATGGCAACAACCGGGCACGGTTGCTCCAGTGGGATGCAGGGGACACCAGCACAGATCGGCTGCCTGTGCTGCTCCAGCTTAGACAGTGCTCGGATGGAAACAGAAACCTGAGGGATCATATGTTCGGTGCTCAAAGTGCTTTTGAACCTCCTGGGTTGTCTGGCACCTCGGGGATCTGACCCTCCCTGTCCCCCAGCTCATCCACAAAGCGAGGTGGAGACCAGCAGCCCCCATGGAGCTGCTCTGGGTTGTCCCATCACCCCACAGCGCTGCGGGACGGGAGCTGGAGGCTCTGCCAGTGCCACCGGTGTGCTTAGCCTCAGCCATGCTTCCCGGCGCACCTCCGAGGTGGGGAGACAACCTCTCCTGTTGCATTGCCAAAAAGCTCTTATCTTTATCTACTTTTCAGGGTCCACAGGCCTCACAGCAGGCTGGTTCATCAGGCTGGCTGCATCTGCCTCCCGGCTCTTTAAAGCACGCTGTAATTAATGACCTGCTAAAAAGCAGCCTCAGTTTCAGCAATGGCAAATATGTCCTTTCCCAGCCCAGAAGCACCAGCTGATGGGCATGGAGAGCTGGGCCCTGCTTGCCCCATTGGTTTGCAGAGTTGGATGCATCAGCTGAGGATGTGCGCAGCTCACTGGTGCATGGACCCTTGCTGGAGCCAGGCATGAGCCTGCTGAGAGCCCTGCAGAAACAGGGCACCAGGAGGCCCTTCTGGGCACCGCGGGCCTGATCCTGCCTGCACAGCTGATGGGCGAGTGGGTGGCACAGCGGGAGCACAGGGCAGGGCAGGGCTGGGTCTGGGGATGCAGATGCAGATGCAGACGGGGCTGAGTTGCTCCACCTGGGCTCAGGCATCACCCAGAGCAGGGCTTAAAGGAGGGAGCAGCCAGTCCTGGCCCCTCTTGGGATGAGCTGAGCTGCAATTTGGGGCAGAAGCTGCTTGGGGGTCTCTGTCAATGCTGCAGCCCTAAAACCCTTCAGGTGGAGAAGGCTGGAGTCAGCAGGAGTAAACCCTCTGCCTGATGGCCCCATTCGGTGAGTGGATGCTTCAGCTGGACACAGCAAAGTCCAAGACCTGACTTAAATGTCAACCCTGAGCTGCATCCTCATCTTACGCTCTTTATTGTGTATTCAAAAAACTGAAAAATAAATGTTGCATAAATGCTAAGAAACATCAGGGTGAAATGTGGGCTGTGGGGTGGGAACTGCAGTGTGGAGCCCCTGGTCTGAGTGGTGGATCATGGGGGTGCTGCTCAGCAGGGCTCCTGCACCCGCTGCCCTGAATACACCTGCAGCCCCTAATGAATACCCTGTTTTGTGGATGCTCAAGTCTTCCAGTGAGCTGTGAGCCCAAGCATGTCTTTGCAGGGAAACTGTATTACTGGAGCTTGCGTCTATCCCTGGTGAGACCCATGTGGATGGCGATGGGCTGCCAGGGGAGCCAGAGGCATTAGAAGGGGGGGCTGCAGCTCTCAGCTGCGTTTCCCATGGGAAGGAGGCTGCCGTGGGCCCTCAGGCTCTTTGCAAAGGGGTTTCCTTGCAGAGCGTGGTGGTCAGCGTAGCCCAGCCTGGCCACAGGACATGTCCCTGAGCCCTTGGACTCCCTGGGCCTGAAGGAGGCTCCTTGCAAGGCTGGGTTGCTGCTGGGGCTCCTGTGCTGCGTGGACAGGATGGGGCTGCAGTTTGCTGAGGTTTTTTTTGCTGTCTACCTCATTCCAGATTAGCCTGGAAGTACCATATTTGTGGGGGGAAAAGAAAAACACAGTGGTTGCATATTCCTACATACTCAGGCTCCCCGGGGCAGTAGTCTGCACGCTGAAGACCCCCACGCAGCACATCCCGGCTGTGCCAAGCACTGGGTGGCACAGATGTGCCGAAACACCTGGCTGGAGCCGAGGCAGCTGCCCACGTGTGTGCCGGGCTTTCTCCGTACGAGTGTTTGCACGACGGGCGAAGATAAGCCTGGGGTGTTTCTTGTTTCTGAGGAATAGGCTGGGAGCTGGGCTCCCTGCGAGGGGTGAGTGTGAGATGAATGTCTCTACCTTGATGCAGATTAAACTCGGGGAAATAACAAAAGACTGTAATTTGCCAATACACGCTGAAGGGCGAGACGGATCGTGTCTTCAATTACAGCTGCTCACGTGCATGAGTCGCCAAAATATGCAAGGTATTTGTTTAATTTCTCCATTTGAGGCCAGCGTGGTATTCTTATACTTATCAAGCCTGTGGCTTGGACGTAGGCTCTGCGCAGGAAAAGTGCTCTCACAGACAGCCTGTGCCAAGCGAAGGCACCACTGAAATCTCCAAAACTGGGCCCAGATTGAACCTGTATGTGGGCTTGTGCGGGTCACTGTTGGAGCAGGATCATTTTTATCCAGTATCATGCAGGATCTGAATTTCTGCTTCACATGACAGCAGCGGGGGGGGGGAGGTATTTTGGATCCCAGTGTCCCAGGGAGGTGGGATCACTGGAAGGGGAGCTGTGACGGCCCCAAGCTCAGCCTCAGCCAGGCTGAGTGCCTCCTGATGCTTCCTGGGCCGTCCCCAGCATCCTGGGGATGGGGCTGTGGCTGGCGCCAGGGGCCCTGCTCTGCTGCCAGCACTGCCGCCCCGCTCTCCCCAGGGAGCCGATGCAGAGCTGTCCTGATGCCCACCGGGAGAGCTCTGGCTGCAGGGCTCCAGCCCATAGGAAAGGTTAAATGACTGCAAACCATAAAGAAGTCTGTAAAATTAGTGGCTAATTAGCAGCAACTGCAGTGTACATCATACCACGCTGCTGCTCCGTGCGGGGACGGGTGCATGTGCGATACTGTTTTGCTCTCCAGCCTGAGGGATTTGCATTTGCTTGTAGCCCAGAGCTACCATCTTGTAATTGCAAAATTAGGGCAAAACAAGTGATTTGTTGCTACAAATGATAAGAGCAAATGGAAACACCTCCCATCAGAGGTCTGGCAAGGCAGACATCTGCCTCCTGGTGCTGCAGTCTGCAGGAAGGGAAGGGATGCACAGCGAGAGCACGGCCATGCC